TTATTTAGGAAAGCTGAATAAAGTAAAAAGTTGTCTACTACAGTAATAGTGGCATAGAGACCTCATTTTCACTAGCTTTATTGTTTAAAATATATATTTTATTGTGTGCAATGAATAAAGAACACTTGCGCAGGCTGCTTTTCCACAATACAGTCATCCTGGGATTAAGACCTTGTTGCAAGTCAGCACTAGTTAAATATAGGCGAGGTGCTCCAAACTAGGAACCATACCTCCCTGGTAGGATCAGAGCTCTCAAACATGTTTAGGCATCTCCCAAATGGAAGGCTTTGTTATGAAAACATTTACCATAGGAAAGTCCCCCAAAACTGGCAAAGAAGCATATGGCAATTCTCTTACATGCAGATGATGTAGTTCTGCTCTCCCAAATCTATATTAGCCTAAAAAGAGCATTGCAGGCCCTGGCTTAATATTGCCATTCAGAAGCCCTAGAAATTCACTATAATAAAACCAAGATGCTGGTGTGTGCTAAACACCCTAAAACATATGTTTGGAAATTAAACAATCATCCAATTGAGCAGATATTTTAGTCATTAAAGTATCACAGTATTGTATTTCATGCCACAACCACATGTAGGATGTATATGGAATACATAATGCAAAAAGCACAAAGCTCTGTTACAATCCTGCAAACATTCTTTCACACTAAAAAGAGCATTGTATATTCCTGCTACACTTCAAATACATTCAGCCCAAGTTTGGGTACAATTATTATTTGGTGTCCAGTTAGGTCCATATATTTCTTTTTCCCCCTTGGAAAGGGTTCAGATTAAGTTCAGATTAAGAACAACTTTCCAAGTCTCATGTTGCATTTCAAATACAGTCCTACACCACCAGGCTGCTATCAGTAAGATCAATTCCAGTGCCTGGATACACATTTTCACATATTGGACTAAACTGTTCTTCTCCCTGGCAGATCTAACTCCTCAGGTCCTTTCTGATAATTTTGTTTCCTTTGAGCTAAGGCAGTACATAAAAAACTGCAACCCTTCTTTAATTCAAATATACATGCTAGGGCATAAGTGTAAGTAGAGGCAATCAGACAACACCTTAAGGACACTGATATCCACTCAGACCTGATGTCCGTCCCTAAAGACATATTTCTATGTAGCTTCCATACTCCTTTCAGATCTTCTAGCTATCTAAACCAAATTTCTAAGGAGGGCCTTTACTTAGGCATGGTTCTATGAACTCCCACCAGTGATTTTAGAGGGAATTCAAATCAAGGCTATGCCATTCAAATCAAGACTATGCCCATGCAGAAGAACCACTGAAAACATAAAACATGTTTTCTTATAGTGTTGTTTTACACTGACATTCATTGTGAGCTCTTAACCTTACATTCAACTAAACTCCCTAGTCATTCTGAACAGTTTTATTTCAACCTCTTATTTTCAGACTCAAATGACTATTTCTTTAAGTGTAGCCAAATTTTGTCATATAATGTGCAAGATATGCAGCAGTTTGATTGATATGTTTACCTAATTAATGAATATTAGTTTTATGTATGCAAAGTGTTTTATGAACTGGTCATTGACTATAATAAATAATCATAGGAAAGTACTGTAATTTTCAAGAAAGTAGCTAGTTTCCAATTCTAATTCAGCCTGTTATCCACCATATTCATTTGTACTATATTTCTGCTGCTTAAAAATAAAGGTCCACTTCTACTATATGAATGACAGAAGTTGGGGATTCTGGTAGTGTTAAGACCCAAACAACTGGAAAGCAGTGGATTAGGAAAGGCTGGATTTTTTCAAAAAAATATATTGAATGAATCTTCTGCCTTTCAGTCAATAAGAACAATTTTATCCAGGGATTTCAAAGCACTTGAACTCACAAATACAGTGGTACCTCTACTTATGAACTTAATCT